AACTGCTAACAATTTTTAAATAACAAGATTTTTTGAAGGAGTTCTACTCACATCTACACAAAACATACAATCGACAAATCAAAATATAGAAATAAACATTAAGAGCTCAAAGGAAAAAGTAAAAATCTCTCAATGTGCAAAGTAATATTTAAACAACTTGGTCTAAAGAGTATTTCACCAAATCCAAAACGTTCAACTTCTTAAATTAACGCAAGCATGAAGTTGCATTCCATAGCTACAACTTCTAACCCTCAACAATGACAACAAAATATGAAACCATAATATGCATCAATCTACCAAAAACAATTATAATAACCTTCATTACGATCAGGGTGAATCGATAACAGACACGGACGCGAAGAATCTGCCACTTCCTTGCGGAGTAGCCTCTTCTTATTCTCGATACTCCATAAGATTACCTAAATCAGCACAGCAAAGTTTGGACTTTAAACACATTTCCAAGAAAATGATCTCTCTAAAGTTCAAGAAAAACGAACTCTTCAACTGCAGGCACTTCACCAATCTTCTTAAGTGTATCCTTATCAGGTTCTTCATCTACTCCAATTGCCATTATGGCTTTTGTCCTCTTAGCAGTTCTTCCCACACTCATAAAGCTCACATTCACATTTCGCTCTCCAAGGATGTTTCCGACTCTTCCAATCATGCCCGGTTGGTCTACTTGACGGCATAATATGAGATTTCCATCCAGACTGACATCGACTCCGAATGATCCGACACATGTTAGATGAGGTATCCCGTACTTAACTCTCCCTTCAATGCTAATATTTCCATTTTCTGTCAAAGCACTCGCAAATTTTGACTCCACGTTACTTACCTGTACCTGGATCGAGTCGATGGGATTCTCAGATGACGAGTCCACCAAAACTCGTTCCTCACTGATTCGGAGACCCTTTTGCTTGGCAGTGAAATCAGCATTGACGAGGTTGATATGGGAATCAGATATAGGCTCGATAATGCCTTTTGTTATCATGGCACGGAGCAGTCTGGTGTCCAAGTTATCTGGATCCCTAGCTGATTTGTAGACCACCTTCACAGATTGAATTCCACTCCCTCCAGCAACTAACTGTATAGCTAGCCTACCCAGTTTCTCGGCTAGCGAAACATAAGGAGCTAATTCCGATAAGACCTGATTACAAAAATGGGAAATTTTTATTAATCACCTAATGAAGTTCAGAAGTAATCATCCAGTTAAGCATATGTAGATAGTAACTTGTTATAGGTTTTTTCCCTCCGTTTTTTTACCTCGGGAGGAACCATAGGAGCATTTACTGCAGTAGCAGAAAGTTCCCCTCTCAGTGCACCTACAACTGCCTCGGCAATTTCGACAGCAACTCCTTCCTGAAATATAATTATGGTTCAGATGACATGAAAATGATGCAACGTCCCCAAGAAATTCATACCTGCGCTTCCTTTGTGCTAGCTCCAAGATGTGGTGTAACAGTAACATTCTCATGTTGCACTAATTTGCTATCTTTAGGTGGGGGCTCCTCTGTGAACACGTCAAGTGCCGCCTAATAAATACCAGGACGCACAGAAAATCAGTTCCACATAGAGTTAACAAGGTCTTCAGGAATTTTCTCACCTTATTGGAAACAATAAATCCATCACATGATGCATAAAAAGATGCAAAGTTGCTGTTAAAATCCGAGAATATGCCAAACAGATACAACTAGGCTGAAACAGAGTAGTCCTAAGGTCATTTCAGTTTTTGATGATGTAGTGGTCAAAAAAATTTAGACAAAATGTGGAAATTACTCTGGAAGAGTATACCTGTGCAACTGTTCCATTATCGAGCGCCCTCACTAAGGCATCTTCGTCAATAACACCACCTCGAGCTACATTTATGATGCGGACACCCTTTTTCATCTTTGAAAAGGTTTCATCATTAAACACCTTGTTAGTTGTAGGAGTTAGAGGCATATGGAGTGAAATGAAGTCTGCAGTGGAGATGGCCTGATCAAAACTGACCAACTCAACACCAATAGCACGTGCTCTATCCGCTGGAGCATAAGGGTCATGTGCAATCACATGCATGCCAAGTCCTTTTGCGCGTCTTGCAACTTCAGAACCAACCTTACCAAATCCCATAATTGCTAATGTCTTCCCAACCAGAGAAACGCCAACATACTTGTTGCGTTGCCATTTTCCTGTTAACGTTTAACGAAGAAATAGTCAACTCATATGAAATCCATTTTGCAAGATAAGCGATAAATTAAACTACTTAACTATATGAAATTATTATACAGGTGTTAAGTTTCTGATTAAATAAAGTATCCAAAGAATATTCAGCTATGTTAAAATGTTTGCATCAATAAGGGTAAAGGTCGAAATCATCCATGCATAAAATACACTGTCACTTCAACTTTATATTCAGGCAGCGACGAAATTATGAACACAAGACGTGAGAGTTTTTCTTCAAGCCACAAGGAACAGAAGCTAGCAATGCAATATTTTTTACGAACA